TATACATGACACACACACACACACACATATATATATATATATATATATATATATATAGCATGTAAATGCTTGCACAAGAATGTAGCTAGGTATTGCGATACAATATATTAATCATTGGTGACATATAGCCTTGTACATGTGAATAGTTTTGCTTCTGATTTATGGGTCATCTTTATAATTATTCGTTGATGAGTTTGAGACCATAACCGTGAATGAGATGCACCGTGAATGAGATGCCAATATCGATAAACAGATGCTTAGTAATACAGGGTTTAGATGGTCAGTCATCCACCTTCTAAGTAACGACGCTATACCTTATGCCCTGTGCAGTATGGTCACTGCGGTGGTGGTCATGTAAACAATAGAGATTTGTACGTATAATATGTGTGTATATTCTACGAAGGCGTTGATATATTTGTTTTCTCATTGCCTTCTTCCAGGCTTCTTCGTGAATAAATAAATCGATCACAAGGTGTCTATTTTAGAAGGCTATGAACAAAGCAGCTAAAAAACAAAACAATAGCATGTACTGTACATAGTTCATATTTCATATTTTATACTGTATAATTCTGGGGTTCGAAAAACTTATGGCTGTGGGTCAGCAAGCTTAATAAAAGTTTAACGTATACGTGAATTTATTTTAAGGGTATAGAAACGGTTTGGCCATGGAAACCTGAACCTATTCAATATCAGCTGGGTCATACTGTATATAAATGTTGAACGTACCATAGCCTTCTAAAATAGACAATCGTAAACCCCCTTTTTTTTTTGCGTGATTATCAACGGTTTTTAATATATAACGTTTTGAGCTTTAATCCCAGAAGGGCAACGTGTGCTATAGCCTGTTATCACAAAATCTTGTGCAAACCATGACAACTAGAATTTATAAACCAATAAAAACACGGTAGCCCACAAGGAGTAATCCTCATCGACATCGTTGATATGAACGGTGGACCACCTCAACAACGTCTTTGGCATTTCGGAACGCCCAGGAATACTCCCGTGCAGACTTCCCCAGTCCCCACAAGTCGGGGGCACTCGGGGGGCTAGTAGGCCGCTAGTAAATAGTGTCTAGCTAGAGAGCCTGTAAGAATAGTAGTATATTCTTTTACACCGTCTGAGACTTAGATACGAGTGTGTAAATATATACGAAAATTAGCTAGAACATCCTGTATTGTATGAGTGTGAGTTGTACTGTTCGCACTCACCAGCAATTCATTGAAACTAAAGTATCAGTCTAAGGCTTAACAATAGCCTGCACTCTTAAACATATGGTGCAGGCTGGGCTTGTCAAAACCTAGTAAAAAGAACAGACCAATATAGATAAGATGTGGTGAGGCAACATGTAGAAGAGAAGACATTGTGCTTTAGTTGTAGGACTAGCGGTTAAGCCTTTGCATAGAAATAGATGTAAAAGATATTCTAAAAAGGATAAACTAATATAAACCAGCTTACGCGTAGAGTGTTTAAATATTTTCCTAAGACGATAAGGACGATAGACCAACGATGCGCTGGTTGTAAAAGAATCTTCTTGACCAGATCGCATAAGAATGTTCCAATGCCAATGGCAAGGTATGAGATACAACAGAACAACACACAAACAGAAACATACACAAATACACACACACAGACACAAAAAAGACACGCACACACACACAGACACAAAAAGACACACACACACGCGCGCACACAAACATCCACACACACATATATACATAGCATATATTTATATATATATACATATATATATCTATATATATATATATATATATATATATATATATATATATATATATATATATATATATTATATTATATACTATA